ATCTGAAGTATTTACTATCCAAACACACTATACTAATATTATTACTAATATTTTGTTTCAAGATGTAATAGGAGTTAGTTTACCCCGGCTGATTGCACGTGACATTATCAAAAAACCTCTATTATGGTTTTTTCTAATATCACTTGGGACCTTTAAAGTTTTAAAAATATCACTTACCTCCCTTACTAATTGTAAAAAGACTACATTAAGCCTCGCTTAATACATAATTCACATATCAAATAAATGGAATTCAAAAAATTTTAAAAAAAAATCATTTTCTTTTCTTTCTCCTTTCTCCATCTCTCTCTCTTACTCATTTTTTTTTATGACTATCCGATTTTTTATTTGTAAATTATAGTAACTTAAATTTATTTATCTTTTACTTTTTGTGATTGTGATAGAGTGGGTATGATTTCTTTATTTATTTTGAATTGATTTTTATAATGAATCAATGCAATTTAAAATTTTGGACATGGGATAAAAAGAAGTTGGAGAAAAATATATGGTTCATAAGAAATCAATTTTGAACATATAAAGTTAAATTGGTGCTAGTGTATTTCTTTGCAAATATAGTTTTTACTTTTCAAATTTATATTTTATGGACTATAGCACACTATGATGTGGTAATATTGCTAGACATTGTTTTTTAAGTGATAATTTTCTTAGAGTAAATAAAGTGGTTTAGGAGTATTTTTGTTTAGCAAGCAAAGAGTAGTTTAGGGTTTTTCAAAATTTTGTTACATAAATATAAAAGTAAAGAAAATAAGTGATATTTTTAAAATTTTAGGGGTGCTAAATAATATTAAAGGAAACCTCCTAGGGTTCTGATACTATCGACAATTGAGGGAGGAGATCAAGAAAGTGTGAAGCGTGAACAGGTTAATTAAACACAACACACAACAAACAAAATAGGTCAAAAGACAGCCATACCCCTCTCAAATAAAAAAATTCCCAAATTGCAAAGGGCACGAATTCGCTATTGTAGCTGCGGGGAACTCCCGCCTTTATTATTCTTCCCATTAGGTCATTCCACATTTTCAAAATTTTCCCAGTGAAAAGAACAGTTTAGTTTCTTGATCACCTTTAATATTAGTCGTATTCTTTCCTCCCTGTTCCCGTTTCCTAGGCAGAGAGTCGGAGAAGATGAAGTGAAAAAAATACAATCAAGTTATTCATTTTCACTACTTAAATCTTTATTTTATCTAATATTTTGTTGAAATTTCTTCCTTTTTGATACCCGATTTGTTGATTTTTTGTTTTAGGATTTCTTCATCTTGATCTTTTGGATTTCTTGTATCTTTTTCAGCTTTATTTTAATTAGATGAATAAATGTAAGGAGATGATTAGGTTCTTTTATTTCATTTTTCAACATTTGATGTGAGCTCGCTGGAAAAAAAATCTAGACACTTCTTCGACTTTTCTACTTTTTTTTTGGGGTTGTGTATGGCTATTATTATTGAATTTTGAGTGAATTTTATTGGTTCTTGAAATTAGGTCAAATTTATCAATTGTCTACAGAAGCAGCATATGTGTAGTGTATTATTTGTCCTGAAACCCAAAAAGGAGAAGCCGAAAGGTAGAGATAAGTATATTAGAGAGAAACTTGAATTCTGTATTTACATGAACCTATCGGCTTTTCCCCTTAACTTCCATATTTCAGTAATCAGTAAAACTACGATTTGAGGTGTTTTCCATGTCTATTAGTACTGCTGTTAGTTTCTTAGATTTCTCACGGGTCACAATTTTTCCACCTCCATGGATTACATAATACGAATGAAAGAAGCCTTTACATTATCATTGACTAAAACATTTCGATTGAGTCGTGCTTCATGATCTCCTTGATTGTTCTAGGTTCAGTATTGCCGATTTCTACTGGTTTCACTGTTGTTACTAATTATTGTTCTATTTGGTTTAATGAGTAGAACAAAAGCGACGTTCTTTATGATATTCCTTGGTTTATTTTTACTAGTAGCTTTACAAATTTTTGTTTGTTTGCTAAGAATGTTCCTTGATTTTTCATTTGTTTGTTTGTTGCTTTTTTTTTTTTTCCACCTGCTCAGCCATTTGGTTATGTGGTTAAGATTGTTAGTATAATTTGCCTTGTTTACTATTTCTCATTCAAGTGAAATACTTCCATCTGGTTATGAAATACATGACATACATGAGAATATGTACCTATCATTATGTGAGATGAAAACATTATACTGGACATAAAAGTCGTCCATTTTGCCATGTTTGTAAAGAACGGCGCGAGGAATGGAACCTAAAGCTGATGGTGAGAAAAGAGGCAGAAACATTACTGAAGTATATATGTTTCTGTGGACTTTGATGATTTCGAGATGCAATTTGTAGAGGATGAGGGTATTTTCAGCATATATAAGGCGAAGAAGAAGGATGCTAGTGAGGAATATATGTTAAAGAAGTTAAAAGCTACTAATGGGAAGCCTTTACCACACTTTGTGAGAAAGGAGGCTGAACTTCTGCATCACTTAGATAACCAAAGAATTATCGAGATGGTGGTTTTTAGGATTCGAAATCTGAAAGCTATGGAATATGGACCGATTACACGGGGAGTATAATTTGAAAAGTTTCATGGAGAAGAATGAAAGGCACTTCCCCGAAAACAAAGTCAGATTTTTTATGGGCCAACTGCTAGAGGGAGGTATATGTGCCTCCACAGTAGAAGCATTGCACACCATGATTTGAAGACCATAGTTCGTTGTTTGATGGCAAAGAAATCAAAATTTCTGAATTCTCCTCTGCCCATCCAAGAAAAGCATGGCCTCCTATGTCGTTGCATTAGCAGCCTTCCTCGTTGATACATTCACCTTATTCGTAAGCAAATTGTTGCAAATTATAGAGATAGGATTTAATAACTTCTCTTGAAATGATCATGATACTATAGCAATATCTTGTTCTTTTCTGAGTTTCTTTAAGGGCTTTTGGATGATAACTCAATTTCTACGAATATGGCCATGTGGTCGATCGGCTGCATTTTTGGCTGAGATCTTAGCCGGGGAGTAGCTATTTTCTAGGGATACAGATGAAACTATACTTCATAAGATAATTTAGGTACTTTCCATACTGTTCATAGTCGATGCATGTTGAAATTTGTAATAGATTCTTATTTAGGTACTTTCTATTTCATTTTGCAAATTTGTGAGATCCTTGTGTCACGGGTTGGTTAAAAATCCTTATTAACACGACACTAACAAGTTTCAAAACTTAAGTAATGAATGATTGTTAGTTCAGTCTAACACTCAAATGCGTGGTTGTGCAGAAGCGAAAAAAGTAATCAAAGAAGAGAAAGGTTAAAGATTAAGGAAAATTCTTATATCGCACTTAAAGAGTTATACAATGTGTTCACAAATGGAGGAATGCTAGCCAAAAAGTCTTTATATAACTCTAGAAACTTTTACATACTAATTCTCTACACTTGGTTCTAAAACATTCTATACAAAATTTAATACCAGTAATGCCCAATTTAAGTTTAATTTTTTTAATATTAGTTAATTCAAATAAGAAGTAATGTATTAAGCACCGCGGGTCGGGGAAGTATGCGATTGGATAGAAAATGCAGAAATACAATGGTACAAGAGGTGAAAGTTGTAGCATAATATATGAAAAAAATATAATCTGCAAAAGTAGGCGGAATTAACAGGTACACAATTTGATATTGGGTGAAAATTTGACAAATTTTTTGAACTTTGTTATATTAGGTGCTGTATAAATATTTTATAAAGTAACCTTACATGTTCTAATTGTTGTTAATATAATAATGGATATAAATACCATTGGTGCAGTTTATTTTTGCAGAATAATTGTACAGAGTTTAAAACACAAGGATACATATGACTTGGTGAGCGGATTGAATGTGTGCCAAATACAATATAAAGCACTGTAGTGCTTAAAATGTTTTAACATTGGATGAGTAGTAAACTATTAAAATTTGTAAATTTAAAAGAAGAATATAATGTATTTGGTTGTGAGCTAATAAATCTACACTAATTTTCATGAAAGTGATATTTGGTTGCAACCAATTGCTTGTGAAAGGAACAAAGAATATTAAGAACAGAGAGCTATAATTTGAGGTGCACTTGAGTGTGAAGTCAGGTTGAGAGAAGGAAACTAAGCACTTACAAAAGTTGAGTATCATTAAAAGTATGGTTATAGATATTATGGTATTTGCTAGGTTAGTAAGCATTTAGATATGTAATTAGAACCATAGTTATTAAACTCGATCCGACCCGGCGGTTGAACCGATTGACCTGGTGACCTGAGAATTAGATCGGGTCGAGTCTCTAATTTGACCGGACAAGTAATTGATCCGGTGTTTCAATCGAGACCCGTCCAATTTTTCAATTGATCCGATTTACACTTTTTTTTTAAATTGTGGGTTTTTGTTTTTGAAACAAAATGTATAGGAGTATATGCCTTTGATAAGATTTATAAATTGGATCATATATATATATATATAGACTTTACCACTTGCTTAGTTTTTATTTGATAACTAAATATTTTTTTAATAAACTTATTTATTTTTTTATTATACAAGTAATCCCTTTAACTTTTAAATCGACAATATTTGATTAGTTAGAAAATTACTTTATTTTAAAATAAAATAATAATGCTATATTTTTTAAAACAAGCAATATAAATTTTGTTTTATACTTGACTATATTATTTATTTATTTAAAAGTACGATAAAATGAAATTAAATCTTCTATTAATGTCTATGTATTTATTATATATCTTTCTAAGTATAATAATTAATATCTAGAAGCACTTTATTATATTTTTTATATATATTAAAACTATTATTTTTTATTTATAAATATTGAATTAATACTCACCAGTGATTCGGTGATCCAATGCCTCTGTCGAGCTCCTTACCGAACATTAGAGCATATGGAACAATTTATGCCATGCTTTGATATGAAAAACAATCAGAACGACGACGTTTAAACGACCGGCTTTATTTCGACAACCGCCTCAGGTAACCTTTATTAATAAGAGGGTCTAGCTCCAATTTCTTGCCCTCTATAGCCAATTCCCAAATGGGCCGACCGTCGTCCGCTGTAGAAATCCCCCATGAACGGCGTCGTAGCGGTAGAGAATATTCCCCGGACCGCTACGTTTTCGAAGATTCATGGCCTCGCCATCGTACCCGCAATCGCAGCCCCAGCCCTAGCCGAAGCCGCAGCAGAAGTTTTAGCCGGAGCCGTAGTCGTAGTCGGAGCCCAATCTACAACCAGTACTCAAAGCACGACAGGCGCCGTGACCTACGAGCCTCTCCGGATTATTCCTACCCTACCAGAAGCCCTAGGTCTGAAACCCTAAAGTTGGAGAAGAAATACAACAACTACAGCGATACCCGGAAGAATTCCTACCTCGATCGCGATTATAGGAACGGGCGGTATGCGGAGTCGGAATCTGACGAGGAGCTGAGAGGCTTGAGCTTCGAAGACTACAGGAGCCTCAAGCGCCAGAAATTGAGAAAGATGCTGAAGAATTGTATTTGGAATTGTACTCCTAGTCCTCCCAGGAATCCGAACGATCCTGAGGAGGATGAAATCGCGGAAAACAGCGAAGTGGAAAAGGAACTTAGCAAGAAAGATGCAAAAAATGGGGATATTTTGAAATCGGATGCTAAAAGCGAGTCTGAATCTGAGTCAGCATCGGGGTCTACTGACCCTGAATCGGATGATTCGAGGTCCAAGAGGAAGGAGAAGGGGAAGGGGAAGAAATCGAGTTCTAGGCGTAAGAGGAGGAGGTCAAAGTCGGTTTCTGAGACTGAGAGTGAATCAGATGAGTCTAGTGAAGGCTCAGAGGAAGATCATCGTACGAGGAGAAGGAGGAAATCTTCTAGCAGAAATCAGACTAGGCGAAAGAAGAGCAGCAGGAGAAGTAGGAGGAGGAGGAGTAGTAGGAGGAGAAGTTACTCAGATGAAAGTGAAAGCGAAGATGAGAGTGGAAGTGAGGATTCTGATGCTAGTCTATCATCAGGAGATCGGGTGAAGTCTAAAAAGCGGAAGAGCTCTTCCTCTTCCAGGTCCAAACATAACAAGAAGAACCAGAGGAAAAGTCATTCAGATGAAAGCGAAAGCGAAGATGAGAGTGGGAGTGAGGATTCTGATGCTAGTCCATCATCAGGAGATCGTGTGAAGTCTACAAAGCAGAAGAGCGCAAGGTCCAAACGTAGCAAGAAGAAGAGGAAAACAGAATCCGATGACGAGGCCTCATTATCAGAGAAGAGTTCTGATTCTGCAGTTGATGCTAAGAGTAAACCTAAGCCTGCAGAGGAAAAGGTGATGTTGAATGAAGTTGATAGTGAGGTGCTTCAGTTTAAGGAGCTTATTGAGTCGAGGAAGAGAGCTGCATTAGAGAATGAGCCAGTGGTTGGGCCGATGCCGTTGCCAAGGGCTGAAGGGCATATTAGTTATGGTGGGGCACTTAGGCCAGGTGAAGGTGATGCCATTGCACAGTATGTTCAGCAGGGGAAGCGTATCCCACGAAGAGGTGAAGTGGGTTTATCAGCTGAGGAGATTCAGAAGTTTGAGACTCTTGGATATGTGATGAGTGGTAGTAGGCATCAGAGGATGAATGCTATTCGTATTAGAAAGGAAAACCAGGTTTATAGTGCTGAGGACAAGCGTGCATTGGCCATGTTTAACTATGAGGAGAAGTCCAAGCGTGAACAGAAGGTTATGTCTGATCTACAGCGGCTGGTGCAGCGCCACATTGGGCAGGATGCTGGTCCATCTCACGATCCTTTTGGCGGGAGGTCCACTGAGGGGGCTGAAGCTTGATTCGAATGTATGATGTTTTATCTATCTCATTGAACTAAACTCTAGTCTTGGCTTCATCTTCCTTTCCTTTTATTATGTTTGCTTGGATTCGAAATAATGAGTTGTTTTTGGTACTTACCTGGGCATCAGAGTTGTGGGATTGTCTTAATTTAGCACGTAATGTATACTTGTACCATTGTGGAAATTAAATTTTATCTATATATCAGTTACTTTGGTGCATTCATGCTAAACAAATGTATGAATCCGTATTTACCATTGCGCCAAAATCCGGTGCTTTCATGCTTAAGGATAAAGATTAGGATGGTTGAATTTTGTTTGAGAAGAAATTTGACAGTAGTGCACTCGCGTCTAACCTCAAGATGCTACATACCTAAAGGTGCTAGCGGCTGGCTATTTAGCTTGACGTGTAGAAAGATGACTTTAACAACCCATAATCTCAAACCATATTGTTGAGGTAAAAGCTTTAATGCATGCTTAAACAATTACATCACCGAAGTTTAAACTGATGGAAATGTCGCATTTACAGAGAGCAGAAAAACCAGCTGTAGGTTTTTGGTAGGTACTTTTAATTTGAGATATAGGATTAGAACACTGCTGCTATGGAGTTGAGTAACGGGAGCTAAGCTATTAGACATTAACTACCCTACTCTTCACTAGTATAAAAAGGTTAATGAATCTATACAGAAGATTACGCTCATAAACGTGAGGTTAGCTTCCCTGAGCTGATGGAGAAGTCCAACGGGAAATTGGAAAAGGAAAAATGGACATATAATAATGTAATCGTTCCTTGACTACCATGTTAATTTCAAAAAGAATCATTAGATGACTTTTCATTCATCTCCAACTAAAACAAAGGCAGAATTCTCCGACATTGGCGAGGAGTCTCTCTCCTTACATACATTTTCTCGTACGGGTTAGGAGGTCTGGTAGAACCATCTTGGATGCTGCCCGCATTTTTACCCTCCCTCCGCGGTCTTAGTTCGTTGACTATGGAGCTCCATCCTTCAGATGGCTGCCTCAGGGAGTGTTTATGGCGAGTAATCCCCTTAGCCATCTGTAAGATCCAAGCAAAATAAATCACGCATGAAGAGTGATAAAAATTGAGTAACAGATTCATAGAAAATCAACCTTGACTCTGCAATGACAAGATAATCTTTGCGTTGAATTCAGAAAGTGCTTCTTCAATATGAGAAATGATAGAGATTCATTCCCTCGTACACAGAGTTTTGTAGGCTTGTGTTACTAGTTCCACCCATTTTCAACATTTGGGAGGTCCAACTACTCTCTTTTTATTTTCATTTTTTGTACATGTTAGATCCTAGTATTCGGTTGCCGAGGCAAAAGTTCGGGTTACAAGCTTACCTTCATTTTGTTGTACTTCTCACATTCCTTCATGGATACATAGGAATGGACCACATTAGGGTCTCCAGTTGTGGCATCCCGAAGATCAGACATGACATTCAAGTCAGGATTGCAAGGAAGAGATGCAACACGAAACTCTCCGTCACGAGGCTCGGAGAACCTGCAGAAGAAGAGCTGAGTTCAGAATTAAAGGACCAGTAATATATTAAGGAATGATTAACTAACTGGCGGTGGTGATGTAAATGAATAGAAAACCAAAATTACAACAACATTTATACCCATGTGGACATTGGCATTCCGAGGATAGTGATTGGCGTCTGGAATGTTGTGATAACCTCTGCTTGCTTCTTTCAGATTGATGTGCCAGGCCATAAGTTATATTGGCATGGACGTAGTACTGTTTTGCTCTCATGAATGCTTGCATCCTTTTACGTACCATGTATCCTCTAAACAGGGCTTGTACCCTCACTAGCGATTTCAACGCCCTGCGAGCCCGCCTTGCCTGATTCGCAACAACTTCCCATTTGTCACAATGTATTCATAGTTACACATGAGAAACAGGAAAACATTACTACTACTACTACAATTACAACTCTGAATTGATTACCAAGTGACCGCGATACGCGCTCTGAATCTTCATGGCAGCCGAGGTTTGGAGGTCTGTAACCCTGGGTTCAGTGATGAGCCTTCTACACATTGCAACTGCAGCATTTGCGGTGGCAATGACAGCGTTAGCAGCTGCAACGGTGGAGGCTACCATTGCAATTGCCTCCTTGCATTGCTCAGCATTAAGAGATGATGGAGTAGTGGTCATATGGGAAGAAGTTTCTCTTCTTCTTAACCTTTCACCATCTCTTCTGCCATCACCAGATTTGGTACCGGAGATCATGGAGCTCTCTTCATTCTCCTTTTCCTTCTTGTTAAGCCCAAAACAGGGCTTCAACCAACTTGTTATTCTACCCATTTCCTATTCTCCAAAGCAACGGCGTAAGATTTTTTTTTTTTTTTTTTTTTTTTTGACAATGAGAGCTGGGAGGTTTGCGTTTCTGAAAAAACAGAGCGAAACACCGATGGATGATGGAAGGGAATGTGGTTCTCAAGCCTCTTAAAATAGTGAAACTTGCAGTGATCACCGGCTCTGTCCCAACTCGTTTTCCGGGCTGGAATGTTGCTAATATTTTGGGATTGATAATTTAAGGATCACATCTTACCTGCTGCACGCCTGCACCTGCTTCCAAGATCCAAGCTTCCGCTCGCTGCACGGCTGCACCTGCCGCACAACCACTTCCAATCGGCGGATTATGACAACAGCAAAATGAAACGGCTGGTGTTAGCAACCCAAATGGGTTTGATTTCGAATTGGAATTAGGGATTGAGGTGAGGAATGGGGATTGAGGAATGGGGGTGAGGAAGCTCTCGATTCTGAAAGAAAGAAGACGGCGGACAAAGATTGAAGCTGCTTGACGGCTTGACCTAATTAGAGTATTAGACTCTAATATGTGAATTTTTTTTTTTTAGAATTATCTGAAAAGACAAGAATAGCCCTATTATATTTTGAATTTTAATAGGTAAAACATGTAATTAAGCTTACAACAATATATATCTAAGTAATTTTATAAATATAAAATTATATATATTTAAATATACTTTAAGCTCGAAAAGCTCACGAGCTTATCGAGCATAACATTTTTAGGCTCGAATTCGATTCGTTGGCATATTCGAATAGTTCGAGATTGACTCGAGCTCGATTTGACCGAGCTCGAGCCGATCATTTTAACGAGCTGCTCGTGAACTATTCATGAGCAGCTCGATTCGTTGACACCCCTAAGCTTGAACTCCTCCGCTTCATAATCTGAACAATTCATCATCTGCCACTGCCAATTTCAAACACCTGTCCAGATATCTTGGTCCAGGAGATCATAATGCAAGATTGTGTTCCTGCATAGTAGGACAAGACATTTAGCAAAGAAGTTCACGTTGGGTGTATTAGTAGTATATGCAGCTCCCTCTCTCTTTTGGTTCACACACATTAAAACAGGCAACCAAATTTAAGAGTGACTTCTTCTCGAGGACACTTGGGTATTAAACACAAAAGCACATGGTAGTGGCAATCAGTGGTTTTTATGTTAACAAGTGGATTTTGTTTGGAAGATGTCTTGACTATTCTGTTCAATAAAGAGAAGCCTCCAAGCATCAAAAGTTGTTTTCAGCCACTAAAATTAACCTCGGAGGACTAATTCAGGCTTGACTGGATCATATCAAAAACCACAGATGTAGCACAATTGATGCAGCTTTACTATTGGGACTAGAAGTCTAAACATACTAATGCGGAAATGTAGATAATAAAAGAGCAGACGTCTGGTTCTGATAATGTAATGTGAGGATTTGAAGGAATCCAAGAATACCTTATACCTGGAACTGGGATGGTCCTTAAACCCACGACTTATAGAGATGAAAACAACATCCTGACTGCCAACTGCTTGTAAGACAAGTAAGAACTACAGCTTATCATTCTTTGTTCCTTATGCCTTCTTTAAAGAACTAATAATGTGATAGAATTTTCTGCGAGTGAGTTAGATCATATATATCACCATCACGCTAATGCAACTGATCTATTATTGGTTGTGCACTTATGTCATCTGGTAATCAGATATGTCGTGACTTATTATGCGAATTCTTGGCACAACATAACAACTGAAGAACCTTATCAGTTTGGTGTAACATGCAATTAATCCTTCCAACAAAGTCTCAAAGAGTTAACAAAGTACAAATCAATCTCATATACAAATCAGAAATAGTGAAATTTACTTGTGGTTGAGTCCAAGTGTATCATCCATTCTTCCTCAGGCATTATAATTCACAAAACACCATCCCTGATGGACAGCAGTAATTTGCTTATAGTGTCACTTTAAACTAAATCGTACAAGCAGTTAAAAACAATATGTATAGTCCGCCTTGTGGCTTATAGATCAAAGTAATATGTAACTAACACAAATTTTCATAAATTATAAAGTCATCGGCAAGTCAGCGAAAGAATCGAATACTAATAATTGCAATTTCATGATAAGAAAAAAAATCAAAATTAACCACCAGAGAAAGAAGAGAAAAGAAATCACAGCATTTTTAAGCACGCTTATGATGTATGTCAGAAATACATGTAAGCAAAACCAGAACTTTCAGAATTATCCTAAAACATTCAAAATGTTCAGTTGCCCAGAGTTAAGTGCTGTTTTGTCCAAAAGATAAGATTGGTAGTATTTCTGCACAAAGAAGGATCTTTCATATTTCAGAAAAATCATTGATAATTTTCAGCAGAAAATTGCAGGAAACACTTAAGGAAGTGATTAGCAAGTGCTAATACATTTCATATTATACATGTACGAATTTAAAATCTTGCATTGCAGCTTCATGAGCATTTCTACCAAAAGGAGAGGGGAAAAAAAAGGTAGCTCAGCACGTCCAAAATAGTACATGATGAGATCGTCCACATACCTTTCCAGGCTGTGTCCCCAGATGCTTGATCACAGGACGCATGTGCTACCAGCAAAAAATCATAAACATTGTGTTTTATAGAATCTTGATGTCTTTCTAGGTTTAGCACAGTTCTCTCTACAGCTCCCCGATAAGGCCATTCAAAGGATCTGATGTAAACTATTTTACACCATACCTGCAGTAATTCCAGCTTCTTAACTGCCAGATGCAGGGAAAAAAAATTACAAGTGTAACTCCGTGTACTTTACATCAGATGAATCTTTCTTTCTGACAGCCGACAAAAGGAGCATAGGAAGCCTAATCATTGGGTGAGTTTGTGCAAGTTAGGGATTTGGAATCTGATATACTAAACGAACCAATGGCCTTGTCAATTAGGCAA